ATGCAAGACTTTTCTTTGCCTTTTGAAAAACTTTGAGATAAGAAAGATTTGGATAACAGGGACGTTTTAAGGAATACAAATTACATAAGAATATTGTGATTATTGTAAAAAACAAATGTAGGACTTCTTTTTCGTCTTTCGTCTTTTCGCGTGTTCTTCTTCAACCGTCGTCTCCTCTCGCGAAGTCGCGTCTCGTCCCGCTCTCGTCGTCTCGCCGGCAGATGGCGTTTCGCTCTCCACAGCTCGGCCATCCTGCAGATCACTCCGTCATCGGAGAGATTACTGGAAAACTAAAAAATAACACACACACACACACACACACACACACACACACACACACACAAACATAAGAACAAAAAGAGAAAACACGATTAGAAATGTTCTGGAAAAGTTCTTGACGTCAATCAAGATCAATGAGCCATGGCTTCATGTGGTCAGCTGCAGTAACAGTCACATTGGGCCCTTCATGATGACCAATTTTCTCAACCGCATATCTGTTCCTAGGCATCGTCGAGGTAACCTTGTAAGGTCCGAAAAACTTAGGTCTTAGTTTGAGATCTGTCCCATACTGGGTTCTCTGAATGGCAACAAGGTCGTTGACCTGATATTTGGGAGCTGGTTTTCTTTTCTTATTGTAGGATTTACGATTTTCCATCTGTAGTTTCAAGATGTTTTGTTTGGCATCTTCTCGAATCTTGTCTCTATCTTGCATCGTACAATTTAAAAATTCTTCTTCCAAAATCTCTTTTATTCTCAGGTCTTCTTTATTTTTCATTTTGGTACCGACCAAAATTTCAAAAGGTGTATATCTCGTACTACGCGTTGGCGTACTGTTGATTCTTTGGACGTCCGAAACATATTTGTACCACTTTGTAGCGTCTTCTTGCGCGAGTTTCGCCAAAACGGGGATCAAGATGCTATGCATACGTTCTATCTGTCCATTTCCCCTAGGAATACCTGTGGCAATCGTAATGTGCTCAATCATCTCGTTGGTGCAATAATCGTTAAATTCTTTGGAAGTAAAAGCGGTTCCACGATCCGTGACAATACGATACGGGTTTCCAAATACTGCTTGTTGGATCCTCAGCTTATCCAAAGCATCTCGTGTAGTTGTTGACTTAACGGGGTAAAACCACACAAACTTACCCAAAACTATCTACTACCGTGAATATGTGCTGGTAGTATTTGTTCGTTGAGGGTAGTGGTCCGAGAAAATCTACATGGTATGTGCTCAAAGGACTGTCCCCTTTTGGTATGGGATTTAATAGGCCTTCACCTTTCCCCCTTTTCCCTATTATATAGTATGCAGTCGACGCAATTCAGTATGACATTTTCTATGTGTTTTCTAGCGTTTGGGATATAAAAATTGCATTTTAGAAGATCCTCCGTCTTCGCCGCTGCAAAATGACCTTTTCGATGTACGTGTTTGATTATGTCAGTTTGCATCGATTTGGGTACAACGTACAGTTCTAGTCCGTTTTCGTATTTATATAAAACGTTATTTTTCAGTACATAATCATTTGTCTCTCCTTTTCCCACTGAATCCTTAGGCGCTTTTATATCCTCATCAGTATCTTGTGCAGAAACAATTCTTGTTGTTATTTCGTCGGAAGAACGCGTAATTAGTAAAACTGCATTTCGGCTTAGTGCGTCCACATGCTTCATCTGGCTGCCTTTCCTATGGACAACTTCATAGTCAAATTCGTCAAGTAATAAAGACCATCTTGCTAGTTTTGGAGTAAGCTCCTTCTTTCGGAGTGTTCGTTGGAACGCAGCACAGTCCGTAATTATTTTAAATTTGGAACCCAACAAATAGTTTCGAAATTTTTTCAAGCCCTAAATTACCGCGAGTACTTCTAACTCGTAACTGTTATATTTTTCTTGCTGAGGTGATGTTTTCCTACTCATATAATTGATTGGGTAATACTTTCCGTTGTCAGCTTGTTGTAGCAAAACTGCTCCGAACCCGAGGCAACTTGCATCCGTATGTAATTCTAATGGAGCGCCATGCTTGAAAATATGGAGAACTGGACTTCGTGATAGTATGTCCTTCAATGTTTGAAATGCTTCTAGTTGTTCCGGACCGAATTTGAATTTTACGCCATCTCTAAGCAAATCGCTTAAGGGTTTTGCTATCTTCGAATAGTGGGGAATGAATTTCCTAAAATAACCCGCGAGTCCTAGAAAGCTTTGAACATGTTTTACGGTTTTGGGTTGTGGAAACTTTTGAACGGCTGCTGTTTTAGTCGGAGAAGGTCTAATTGTTCCGTCTTTGATGACATAGCCGAGAAATTCTACTTCGTTCTTTAAGAATTGACATTTTTCGAAATTAAGTTCCAACCCATATTCTGAAGCTACTTTTAGTACACGCTTCAATTTTTCTAAACCTTCCTGTGCATTTGATGACGGTATTAGGGTATCATCCATATAAATTACTACAGTTTTATCTTGTAACAATGGTCTAAACACATGGTAAATATAACGTTGAAATACACTTGGACTATTACACAAGCCAAAAGGAACCTTTAGAAATTCATACTGGCCCTCGTGTGTAACGAAAGAGGTATAATTTCTACATTTCTCATCAATGTCAACATGGAAAAATCCATTTTTTAAATCGAGCGACGTGAACACTTTTGATTGTTCCAAACGATCTATCACATCCTAAATCAAAGGCGAGGGGAAGTGATCTCTGTCCGTTTTCCGATTCAACTTTCTAAAGTCCACGCAGAGTCTAATTTTGCCATTTTTCTTTTTGCTTAAAACTATTGGCGCAGCATAATCTGAACAGCTAGGTTTGATTATGCCACCGTCCAACCATTCTTGGATCTGGTCTTCTATTTTTTGTTCTTCGAATAACATTCTACGTGGGCGATGACTAATGGGAATTTCGTCAGTTAAAATAATTTGCATCTTCAATCCGGTATCCTTAACCTTATTTGGCTCATACGTTGTACAGTAATTAATTCCATCAAATTATGTCGTTGCTTTCTATCCAGAATGTGACTTAAATCTATATGACAACAATCTGTCGCATCTGTCAATTCACCTAAAAAGCATGTTTTTTCGTTCTCAACTTCTGAGGGATCCGTTAAATCATACTCCCTGTCGTTGGTGAACGAAACATGGTTAAAACGGTTTAATCTGCCCATATCTGCACTTGATTGCATTTTTTTGCTTTCACTGCACGGCTTACACGAAAATGTATCAGATTTGGAAGTAAACTTTTTTTTATTTCTGCCGAAATCGTTTGTGTCACTAACCACAAGGGGTGGGCGCTCACCAAGTGATTTAGTGTCTTGAAAACCGTTTCCCTCTCCCCACTCAATGGAATGCGAAAGGAACGTCTGCTCTTTTCTAGAGGCGTCATCTGATCTAACGAGTGTTGATTCAGCCGCAGACTTTCCATCGGGAACAAAAATTCGAGTATAATTAACACGAATAGTATTTTGACTTCGTTTCCCCATGACTTTGAATCCGTAGTTTGTTATAGAGAAGTTCAGTTTATTCAGAACGTCTATTCCCATTATTATAGAATTACATAGATCACCTGCAAATATTTACGTGGTAGAACCTCTGCAGGAAGAGAGTATTCGTCAATCTTTATTTCACTTTCGAAGAAACCTAACGGAGAACTACTATTCCCATCTAATCCAATTAAAGATGCTCATCTGAGTTTAATTTCGGAGTCCCTACTTTATCATAAAAATGTCTTGGTATCATCGTTATTTCCGACCAGGTGTCGATGAGTCCTTTTGTTTTTGCACCTAGGATTTCAACATCCGTTTCAATTTTGTTGTTACATCTAGAGAAATGACTTAGTTCCATTTTGTTTACTTCTTTTTGAGGACAAGCGTTAGCTTTATGGCCGAATTTTTTGCACTTAAAACATCTAATGCCTTCGGACTTATACGAGCAATTATTCGAAATGTGACCAATTTCATTACAATTAAAACATTTGAGAGTTTTACTGTCATGCTTATTTCGATAAGGCTGGGGTTTTCGATGCTCTGTAGGTAGATTCGGTTTACACTGAAACGAACGAGAATATGTAGACCGGATCTTCTCATATACTCAACTTTTCACGAAATTTTGTCAAATTATCTGTTCCGTATAACATCGCTTTGTTACTGGGTATGTCGCGTATACCAGCAATAACATATTCGATCAACCCGTCAGGCTCAATTTTTCCATGACTAGCGAGTTCTTGCATTTTAAAGAAATATTCTTGCACGGATTCATTGGGGAGCATTTGGCGTTTAGCCAACATACCGTGAATCGCGCTGAGTTATATTTACTACCAAATTCCGCTTTTAATTCCGATTTCAATTTATCCCAGGAATTAATACCGCTTTGACTTTCAACGAATAATTTCGCTAACCCTGTTAAGGATTGTTTTGCAAATATAAATTTATGTAAATCAGACCAAGTCATCATTTTAGCAAAGTCTTCGAATGCAACCAGCCATTTATCGATAGAACAATATTCACTACCATCGAAAGGTTTGATTACGTTTTTCACGTCATGAAAGTTAATGGAAAGTTTAGTCATATCCGAAACACGCAGACAATTATTGCTAGGTGGATCATCGGCAACAGTTTGAACTTCTAATACATCTTCGTCTTCGGTATCAACATCTGCCAAGATCAGATTTGATTGTAATGATTTTAAATCAGAAAGAGAAAGAACAAGCCTTTCGACGATTTCGTCTTTATTACCGTCATATTGAACATTTAATAAGTTGCACAAAACAACTAGGTCGTTTAATCGAAAGTTCTCATTAATATATTGCACTTTCTTTTTTAGGTTTTCGTCCTCTTTGGATGGAAAATTGAATCCACCAAAGGTTCTTAATCTTTTTCTGTTATTCCTATCTCCAACCTCTTCGAATACAAGTTGATGCAACAATTTTATTGAACTTGTCGAGGCCGACTTTAGTGTTTCGCCGATAATTTCTACGAGCGTCGCCATCTTAAAAGTAGAATTTTAAAACTACTCACGGTTTGCCGAAACGTAAGTCGAAGTCCTTCCGGAATGCCGATGTATTCGGAATCTCCAACGTCGAAATTTTCACAAAAACAGAAATGTCCGTAAATGTCCAGAGTACTCACAAAACCAAAGCGCAGTCCGTCGAATCTCCTCGACTTAAGCCTAATCCACATCCGAGCCTATTCCTATCCCGGACGGGTCCCCACTTCTGTGAGACTTTTCTTTGCCTTTTGAAAAACTTTAATTGAGGTAAGAAAGATTTGGATAACAGGAACCTTTTAAGGAATACAAATTACATAAAAAATACTGTGATTATTATAAAAAACAAATGTAGGACTTCTTTTTCGTCTTTTCGCGCGTTCTTCTTCAACCGTCGTCTCCTCTCGCGAAGTCTCGTCTCGTCCTCCTCTCGTCGTCTCGCCAGCAGATGGCGTTTCGCTCTCCACATATATGTACAGTAGAGCGTCGTTTATCCGAATCAATTGGGGACTGGGGTGGTTCGGATAACTTATTTTTCGGATAACGAGTCATGTACAAAAATATATATTAATTTATCCCATGTTGAAATTTCTCTCCATTGCGTGTCACTTCGCGTTGTATTTTCGTCGATGTTAAGCCTAGCGAAGACTATTGTATCGTAAAAAATTATTTTTTTATTTTGTACAAACAAAATAAATTTATTGAAAAATATAAAAACAATAAAAAATTATACTTCAGATGTTAATTTAGTATCAAAAACGTAAAATATTTGAGTAGCCCGAGAAATAGCCGAAGATTGCAGCGCCACAGCACTAGCGAAAATTTAAATTTGCTGACTGGAATGCTTTCAGATAACGGACGTTTCGGATAACCAGCTTTCGGATAAACGACGCTCTACTGTA